GGGGGGATTAGGGGTTTCCATAAACTGAATTGCTGAGATTCTCATTTTTTTTTCTACTTTTTTTTTTTAAATAGGTAAAGACAATGCCTAAGTATTTCTGTGGACAGTGCTGGCAGTTTGCAGTGGTTTACAAGTTTTGTGGTTTATCATAAGTTCATGATAGCCCTCTTCTGTTAGTGTAGTAAATTTTCCTCTCCTACCTGTGTTTTTCCCCTCAAGAGAAGAGGCTGTAGAAGGGAAGGGATTGTATATCCTTTTTTTTTTTTTGATATATATATATCTTGCAAGGTCTTAAATTTCTTGCTCTTATTCGACTTCATCCCCGTCTTTGCCGTACAGTTTCCATATCTCTCTGCTACTTTTAACCTACTTCTTCCACCAAAGTGTTTCCTTTCCAAAATTGCCCTATTCAGGATTTCTCTGCTTTTGAGTTCCTCCTCTGAGGTCAGTCGTCTTGCTTATCAGTGGACTTAGTTTTCAGTATTTTCTAGCGATGCGTGGGATATCTTAAGTGTGTTTGTCTTCCCTGATGGATCTTTTATTAACCTTTGCCACTTAAGTTACTTTTAGACTCCATGAAATCTCTTGATATGTTTTAGGGATTTGTGACCCTGATAAAAATAAAATAAATTTCATTCTTGGAGTTTCTTTTAAAGTTCTGTTTGTCAAAAAAAGTTATTATTTTACAACAAGTTAAAGTATAAATTATTTCATTTCATTTGAAAGAAGTGTTATTACAATAAAATCATCACTAATATTTTACTTATGGGCAGGAATTAAAGAAGTGATCTTTAATCTTAGTGATTATGGGTATTTTCCATAGTAGATTTAAGAGCCATGTAAGAATTTCATGTGAGATAAAGTCCTGGTCTGTGAAAACATGATCTCAGGAAGGCTAAAGTCATCTCATATCTGTTTACCACAAAAATACATTGATCACTGTGAATTTTTTTTCATTAGAAGCTGGATGGGTACCCACATTTAACTTGGATTTGTTCCTGATGCAGAAGCATCACATGAGGTTGGTTGTTGCATTGGAAAGTACAGGAGCCACATGCATTTCAGAAGACCTTAGTGAATCTTTGTACCCTAAAATGGTCAGGCTGGTTTGTGGACTAGAACAGAGAAATGCTAAAGCTTTCTCTCTGTAAATGGTGTCCTTCAGAATGTTTTTTCTAATGTTTTGAGACAGGTTAGTGAGGAATTGACTCCTGTCTCCTTTCTCATTGTCATTCAACTGGATAAAACCAGGCCATGTGATGCTGACCCTACCTACGAACTCCTATTTGTAAACCCTTAGAGGAAATATTAAAAAGTCTTTGACGTCTTATAAGTGGTAAAAAGTTTACTTTTCCAGAAAATCTTTGAAAGAAAGTTCTTGGTATGCTATGTGTGTCTCACCTGCGATGCTTGGCAGCACTTTTGGTTTTGCTGAAGTCCACGCAGTTATGACTCATTGCTTTTCACATTAGTGTGCCTAGTATAAGAAAACTCGGCCAGTTGCCCTAAAAGAAGCTGTCAACTTAATAAGAGCCAGGGCCTTGAGTCATTCACCTTTTCTGAGTATGGGGCTTTCCTCTATCCAGAAATGTGCTGATTTTCCAGAGAAAAAGTCTTGTAGTTCTCAGTTCGGGTAGAAAGTTTCACAAAAGAGAATGAAAGCCTATTTAGAAAAATTTGATGAGGAAGGTTGGTATTGCTTTGCAGACATTTTGATCCACATGATTGTGATAAAATTTTCAGTCAGGACCCTTCAAGGGTCACCATCATGGGAGCTGATAAAAACTTGGGTGCTCTGTTGTCCATGCTGCCATTATGAAAGAGGATATTGGAGGAGGCAACTTTTCTTATAATCAGAGAAATGTGAAAGTTTTAGAACTAAGTATATGACCTCCCTTACTCTTGGATTTGTTAAAAACATAGCTTTTAATATAGTGGTGTGATGAAATTTGTCATTTTTTTATTATTGAGGCTGTATTAACTGGCATAGCTCACTTAAGTAGCATTGTGGAAGCAAATGTTAAAAATCACTCTAAAAAAATCACTCTTAAATATTTTAAAACATAGAAGTTATGTTAGGAAAATGTTTATTGCAATATTATTTACTGTGTAGAAAAATCAGAAGCAACTTCTGACAATAAGGAAATTAAGATATATCCACTATATGAATAACCCTTTTTGGCTGTTATTAATTGTTTGCTGTGAATGTTCTCTCACCTATCTTTTGGTGAACATTAATGCACATTTCTGTATCTAGGAAAGGAATTGCTGATTCCCTGAGTGTCCATATGGTCAGCTTTGGTAGATATTGCCAAGAGCCTTTGAGGTAGTGCCATTCCACACCCACCACCAATGTGGGAGAGTTCTAGTTATTACTGTCTATTTTTTTTTTTTATCAGACTTCTAGTGTGTATGAACTGATAACACGTTGTAGCTTTGCCTTATCTAATGGCTAATGATATTGTTCTCTCTTCATGTGTTTATTAGCCATTGAATATCTTCTGTGAAGAATCTTGAAGTTTTTAATGCATTTTTTTTCTATTGGATGATTATTTTATTTGTAGGGGTTCTTTTATATATTCTGGTTATGGGTTCTTTTTAGATATAAATGTTACAAATATTCTCCCTTTCTATAGCTTTCCTTTTTATTCCTTTATATTGGTATCTTTTGATAAGCAACCATTAATTTTAACTTAATTTTAACATTTACATTAATTTTTTTGCATTAGTATTAATACTTTTTGCATTCTCTTTTAAAATCTTTGCCCTCTTACAGGTTATGAAGATGTTCTCAGGGTTTGCCTCTAAATGCTTTAATTTTTCCCTTCTGCACATTTAAATCCTCAATCCATCCAGATAGTTCTTTGTGAATGTGTGAAGTAAGAGTAAAGGTCTCAAGGTACATTTTTTCACATGAACCTTATTAATCTTAAAATGTGCAGATACTGATCTGTCATTTATTCATGAACAAAATAATGCTGAAATAGCTACTTTTCCCTGAAATCAAAATGAACAATGACTAAGTAGTCCTAATCTTTCCTTCTTTAGAAGGAAAGGCAAATCCATTCTTAGTGATATTACTGAGTCCCTTTTAGACATAATAATTTGTCCCTCCCCACCTCTGTCTCCCCCCTTTGGTAACCATAGTTTGTTTACTGTGTCTATGAGTCCATTTTGTAATGAATTAATTTGTATTATTTTTTAGATTCCCTGTATAAATGATATATATTTGTCTTTGTCTGACTTAGTTCTGAAGGTCCATCTATGTTGCTGCAGATGGCAATGTTTTGCTTTTTATGGTTGAGTAATATTCCATTATGTATGTCTGTGTGTGTGTGTATATATATGTATGTATATGTGTATGTATATGTATCTATATATGTATATATACCACATCTTTCTTTTATCCTTTCATTTGTTGATGGATGATTAGATTGCTTCTGTATCTTGATTGTTGTAAATAGTGCTTTGTGAACACAGCGCGGGGTGGGTACACATGTCTTTTCAAGTTAGAGTTTTTGTCTTTTATGGATATATTACCAAGAGTGGGATTGCTGGATCATATGATAGCTTTATTTTACAGTTTTCCATAGCAGCTACACCAATTTACATTCCCATCAGCAATATGGGTGAGTTCCCTTTTCTACACGCCCTCTTCAGCATTTATTATTTGTAGAATTTTGATGATAGCATTCTGACAGGTGTGAGATGATACCTCATTTCTCTAGTAATTAGCAGTGTTGAACATCTTTTCATGTGCCTGTTGGCCATCGGAATGTCTTCTTTAGAGAAATGCCTGTTTAGGTCTTCTGTCCATTTTGATTAGGTTATTTTTCACAATTGGCTTCTGTATATCAACCTTGTGACCTTAGCTCCCTTACCAGTTCTGGTTTGGGTGGTGGTGGTGGTGATAGAGGTGAATTATTTAGCATTTTCTACTCACATGATAATGTATAGTCTTTGAAAATGATGTCTATGGAAGTACACATTACTCTTATTAAAGTGATTTGGTGGTGCCTTAGTCACTAAGTCGTGTCCGACTCTTGCAACCCCATGGACTGTAGCCCACCAGGCTCCAGGCAAGAATACTGGAGTGGGTTGCCACTCCATGCCAGGGGCTCTTCCTTACCCAGGAACTAAACCCGGGTCTCCTGCGTTGCAGGCAGATTCTTTCCCAACTGAGCTATAAGGGAAGCCCATAAAGTGATATTGCTCAACTTAAAATATTTTTAGAACTTTTTATTCAGAATTTGTTAAAGTTACCTTGCGCATAAGAAAAACTCATTTTTATTTTTATTAGTTGTTGGTGCAATATCTTTTCTTTCAATTATTTTCTTTTCTTCCCTTTTATCTTAATAAACTTAGATCTGTTCTGAGGCAAGATCTGTTATTTTTTATGTGCCCGTTAGACCTTAAAGAGTAAAAGTTGCTAGGCAGTTAGATAAATGCTTCTGAAGTTCAAGGAAAGGGCTGTATAGAGGCGTGAATGTGAATGGTCATGTCATAGTTAAAACTGTAGGACTGAACATGACGGAAGGGGTGGACAGAAGTCCAACAATTCTTGGAAGAAAACTTGAGAAGATCTGTCAAAGTTTCGAGGGGTCCCTGTGCTCAGGAATCTAAGGGCACCCTATGGGAAACATGTTAAGAATACCACCGATTAACTATTGGTGCATTTATGAGCCACTTGCCTACATGAAATACTTTAATTTTTTTTTAAATTCCTTGTCACTTGTGTTTCACAGGAAATTGAGTCATTATAAGGTCAGTGATGTTTGAATACACTGTTTTTCCCTTTGAGTCATTTGAACAGTTTATTACTTGCTGTTTTTGGTTGTTTTTTTTTTTTTTCTCTCCAGAGTAATATTCTAGTCATCATTTTAGATTAATGTAATACCTAGTTTGTTCAGCTTGGTGTACTATTATGATTCTGTTACCTACATCGTAAATAATGTTGACTTTATGAATCATACCAAATATCTGCTTTTCTTCCATCCTAGGCAAATACTGTGGTCTGGGGTTGCAAATGAACCATTCAATTGAATCAAAAAGCAATGAAATCACAGTGCAGTTCATGAGTGGAATTCACGTTTCTGGACGAGGATTTTTGGCTTCATACTCAATTATAGAAAAGCAAGGTAATTTTCACCTTATATGATGATTCTCATGTTTTACAGATTCTGAAAACAGAAATGCGGTATTTTCTTTGGGTACCTGTTATCTGAGATTGGAATAGCGTAGGAAGATTGAACAGTTTATAACACATACATAAATCTGACAAATAAAATTAAATCAGCTCCAGAATTTTAAAAATTATATTAACTTTTTATAAAGTCCTTTTGTATACTTAGCTTTCCTTAGCAGAAGAAATACTGATTTTTCCACTTTTATAAGATTGGAGCACAAGCAATAACTTTAAAAATCTGTCAGTTACTGAAATGATCAATTTAAAGCTTTATTATCCACAGGGTACCGCTTCATCTTACTGTGTTAAAAGCCATATTACCATTCTTCCCTAAGAAGTGTGTTGCATACCAGCAGGAGTAATGGGGAAAGTGCTCTCGGAGACACTGCAAAATAAGCATGAGATATTTTCTAAATTGTTGATGTTTACAGTATGAAGGGGAAATTAAAAACAAGACTATTAAGTGGAATAGAATGGAAAATTAACTCAAATCTCTATAAGCTAAAATGCAGGACTTGAATGAAATCTCTCCCAAGTTTTGGTCACTGTAGCATTCGTTCATTCCCCTCTGCCATTGGGTTCTTGTGGTGAGAAAATTTTTTTTTAATTTTATTAATACAAGGGCATATGAAAGAAATCATTTAAAGTAGAAAATTGATAATTATTTTGATATTCAACAATGACTTAACTAGGTTGGCCATTTAAAATTAAAAATTAGCCTCTACTTTATGTTGTGTAAATGAGAAAATTGTTAAGAACCTCCTCAGTTTGAGAATGTCTGGGAATGAATGGGCCTGGGAATGATTCAGGACAGTGCCAACTGTTCCTTCTGGGCTGCGGTGGGTTTGAGATACACACTCTGTGCCTCATTAAAAGTCGCATTAAGAGTATAAGAGAGGGGAGCGGCTCTGTGTAAAGGAAGGTCTGCTTTCCCTTAATCTCTAAGCTATGGGAAAAGGTGTGATAGAATCCCTCAGAGTGAAAATGAAAGCTCATTTGAATGGAATAATGGAAAGAGATGAGCTGGAAATGTTCTGCTAAATTAACAGTTAATGTATTTGACAGAACAAGGAGACTAAGGCAGTGGGGTGTTGCAGAAGGGGCACTGGGTATCTGGAATCAGAGCTTGTGTGTGCCAGGTACCAGCCAGGGGACCTCTGACCGGTCATGTCACCACGGTGAGCTTCATCTGCAAGTGGGTTAGTTGTGAGGACTAAATCTAATAATGCATGTTTAGTATTTTAGGCCCATATCACAGTAGGCAGAAAGCATGTTAGTTTCACCCTTTCACTACTGTACAAACACGTATCTCGTTTTTTCCCACTGCCCACCCTCCCACTATCAAGAGAGTAAGGTGGAAAACAGAGTGAAATGATAAGCTTCCTATCCTTTTCAGTTTTACTTTGTGAAAGTCTTGGGTCATTGGGTGAGAGGATAGAAGATAATTAGCTGCTCATTCTCCTTAAGTTTCTTGTCGCAGGGTCAGTTTAAATTATTTATTCTGCATTTTCCTGTTTTCCCCTTTCTCTGTTATTCATTGAATTAAAAGTTTCTGGAAAATAAGTATCTCCTCTTTAAAAAAAAAAAAGTTTCTTACTTGGATATTTAAATTACAGAGCTTTTGATCCAAAGGGACATGAATGTCCTACACTAGAGTTTCTTTAGAACTTCCAGTCGTCTCAGATACAGTGTCTTGTAGACGTGTATACATCTGTGCTAAACTTCAAATAGCTGTGTCACTATTTTAGATGAATCTTCGGTTCCAAAGATTTTTTGAAATATCCACCATAATCTGGAACTTCTTTATAGTAGCACTGTCCAAAGTCATAATCATCTTGGGAAATCCTCATTTCACAGCTCACTCCTGGACTTTTTCTTAATGTTTTTTGTGCGTTCTTGCCCATCCATCAAGCATTTGTTTTATTTGAAGTGAATTGGCTAAATTCAAGAGAGCACTGGTTGAATCTCATATTACTTCTTCTTGGATGGCCTTTCAGACATAATTTCTTGTAATGACTTGTTCATTTGAAGGCTGGTTGGCTTTGGTTTAGAGTCTCAGTTTGTTTCCATCCAGGAAACCTAGCTGCCACACTGAATTCCATGAATATTTTCAAGGAACATCACATGTGCCCAGCTTGCTAACCTGGTTGAAGGTTGAGAGTATTTGGGAATGCAAAAGTGGTGAACACCTTGCTTTACTGGCTTCCTCATGTGTTAAAGTGTCACAAAGACTTGTTAGTGTTATAGTGTGATATGTTATTGACAGAGTCATGATTTTGTATGAAATAGACTAGTTTTCATTACTTCTTACAGGAGCCCATTGCAAAATTATATTCCCTTTAGTGCCTTGTTTCCTGCCATATTCCTGGCACTGGGAAGACAGCAGTAAATGAGACAGAGGCAATCACACCTTCATAGGATTTGCAGTACAGAGTTGGAAAAAGGCATTAGACATGTGGTTGTTTAATTGCAGTTACAATAAGCGTGATGAGGGAAACGTTCAAACAATAAGAGGCCAGAGGGGTACGGGCAGTAGGAGACAGATGAAGATTAAAGCTCTCTTGAAGAAACCACTCCTGAGCCCAGAACTGAAGGATTAATTGGAGATTCCAGACAAACAAGGACAAACACTGTAGGGAGAACGGCAGATGCAAAGGCCTTGGGGGGGAAGGAACTTTGAGGGAGCTGGAGAAACAGCCAGCTCAGCTGAGGTGAAGTGAATGAATAGAAGGTCCGTCACGTTATTCAGGACCTTGTGGCAGATGTAAGGGTTAGAGTTTTGTCCAAAAAAAAAATTGCATGGAAGCTATTAGAGCAGAGGAGTGATATGATTGGATTTATGTTTTTGCATTTCCTTGATCTGTAAAGAATGGGCCAAAGAGAAGGAAAAATGATTGTAAGGAGGCCAGTTAAAAGGCTGTTCAGAGGAGTCTGGATCAGAGATGATCAAATTAAGAGATCTTGTTTGGGAAGATCCCCTGAAGGAGGGCATGGCAACCCACTTCAGTATTCTTGCCTAGAGAATCCCGTGGACAGAGGAGCCTGGCGGGCTGTGGTCCATGGGGTCACAAAGAGTTGGCCAAGAAGGAAGTGATTTAGCATGCATGCATACAATGCACGTTATAAAAGTAGCTCCAGGATTAGGCCAGGTTCTAATCTAATTCTTTTTAAAGATTTTTGAACCAGGCGTGTCTTTTCCAGGGGAACATTTCAAACAGTTAGTATTCGGTCTGCACAAGTTCATGTTGAAGTAAGAGGCTTTGGACACAAAGAAGCCTCTTGGGTAAGGCACTGAGTTGCTGTGGTGTCTTGGGCTCTGCACCTGGTGTCCTCTTCCCTTCAGGGTCTAATTTTTATAACTTTATGGTCTTATTCCTCTTTGTTATTTTTAAAATCTTTTAGCAGAAGTTTCCAGTCTTTCCCATTACCAGTTACCACTTTTAATTTTCACCTGTAAATGTCATTGTTTGAAAGATTTTATCTACCAATGGAATGAAGTTTCCCTGTTTCCACTGAGTAACACAGAAAGACGGAAAAATAGATGAATCAGCACTTCAGTGCTGATTAGAAGATTGGTAGTTCTACTCTGACTTGGCGTGTATGTTAAGTCACTTGAGTCGTGTTCCACTCTTTGCGACCCTATGGACTGTAGTCCGCCAGGCTCCTCTGTCCATAGGATTCTCCAGGCAAGAATACTGGAGTGGGTTGCCGTTTCCTCTTCCAGGGGATCGTCCCAACCTAGGGATCGAACTAGACTTTCTGAAATTGAAATTTTTATCTGACAATTGAAGGGACTCCCTGGTTGCTCAGGCAGTAAAGAATCCGCTTGCAATGTAGGAGACCAGGTTTCAATCCCAGGTCTAACAAGATCCCCTGGAGAAGGAAATGGCAACCCACTCCAGGATTCTGGCCTGGAGGATTCCATGGACAGAGGAGCCTGGCAGGCTACAGTCCATGGGGTTGCAAAGAGTCAAGACATGACTGAGCAACTGACTCTTTTTTCTTTTCTGACAGTTGAAGATGTTCATGGATTCTGAGGTATCCTGGGGTTAGAAGTTCTGTAGAGAGAACTCCTTATTACTGCTAGTCTTACCGAGAGAGGCACAGCCAGCCTTGCACCGGTCCAGATGCACTTAGATCTTTTAATCCAGAATGATAAATGATGCTGACATTTTTATCCTAAAATGTAATTGTAAAAAACAACATTTACCACGGGACTTGAAAATAAAATAAATTTTATAGATGAGTGCTCTCAATTCCTGGTTTTGAATCTGTTCAACATTAGCCGGTTTCTAAGTAAAGCTCAACATTTCTGGGATGACTCTGGGCAATAATTTTTTAGGTAATTTTAGTTACTGAATAATGAGCTCAGAAGACATCCACATTTGCATCAATAACTTCAGGTCTTTTAAGGCAGCCTCTCTTTGTTATGTGCCATCAATTGGCTGTTTCTGTGTGTGTGACTCTGTGTGTACACATATCTAGGTACATGGCCAGCTGAAAAGTGATAGTCTGATATTCCTTTTTTAGAACATGAATTATCACTTAAAAAGTAATGTTAAAGCTCATTACTTCAGATTTCATCAATCCAGAGTTTTATAATGATCAAAGTTTGCCTTTTTTTTTTTTCTTAGAAAGAAACAGGAGCTAGTTTAAAATTTCATGTGAAATAAAGTAATCCAATGAAGATATATTAACATATTCCCTAAGTGGAATTCATAAACACTTGTTTATTCATTGTCTGCCAACACCTTCGAATCTGATGACAATGTGCATAAGGCTTGGGAACAGCTGAGCCTGGCAAATATTCCCACTTGACAGGGTTATTGTTGCTATATGTTAGATTATTTTTAGAATTAGCAGCAATTGTATAAAAAGTTTTAATTGCTACATTCTTTAACTACATTTTTTTTTTTTGCAGATATTTTCCATTTCTTACATCTTACATCAGAT